GTTGATGAATATTAGTAAAATGTATATTGAAATACTGTACATCAAATCAACAATTTATATATTGACAACAATTAACAGTTAGCATTACTACTGTAACAGTAAAGCTTACAGTATATTTAACCAAACACAACTCATAATTATTAATAATATTACTGTACACAAGGTATATTTACCAATTGCTACTTCATGTGACCTTTTCAATGCTCTTCAGTGATTTGTTATTGTTCTACAGTAGGTGGACTTGCAATACAAAACACAGTTGGAATAGCATCATGCATAAGACTTTTGTCAGTTGTTGAATTGATTGCTTTTAAAGTAATTCGAACACACTCAACAATCACAAGTATTCATAAGATTTCTTCCTTGGGTCATCTCGTTTTATACTTTGCACCCATTCTTGACTTCTATAAAAATAAAATTAATATAAAAATTTTTAAAATTTTATAATGAATATCAAAAATATGCTCAGCTGAATTGGCAAGAGGATATATTGTATTGTCAAATCGGCAAACTGTGTTTTGGCAAAATGGGATTCATGGTTTCTGAGAAGGCAAACTGGCATTCGGCAAACTGCAAACTAGTTTCAACAATCTTTCTGGCCTAGATCCATACTACTTTTAATAATAAAACTGTAAGTTAAGGGTGGTGTACTGAACACTTGTGGGATAATTAATAATAAAAAATTTTTTAGTCAATATAGGTTTATAATTGAATGAAAACATAAATATAGGCCTATTCTATATATATTGTTAATTATAACGATGTCAACTTTTTAAGTCAATTCTAAAATAAAATTGGCCTGGTCTAGTAGTGGTAGTAGGCTTATGCCATAAGCCTACTACCACTACTAGACCAGGCCAATAAGTTATGGCTTGCCTAGCTAGTACAGAAATACTATATAGTAAAATAGTAATGGTAGTGTATGAATTATACACTATTATACTATATACCTAGCCTAGGCTCGCCTATCCCCTACACAAGCTAGACTTCTTGCTGGCTACAGAGTAGGTAGCTAAGGACTGTATTGCTTTTAGGCCCTTCGGAGTCATTGTTAGGCCTAAGCCTATCTCTCTCTCTCCAGAGTCCAGCTAGCTAGTCTAGCGTAGACTAGGCTAACTAGCCGCTAGGGCTAGGCTACAATAATTTATTTTCACAGATATTCTTCCATTATTTATTATTTTCAACGATAAGCTGACTTTCTTACCTCTTTGCATCCTTCGGAAATCTAAAGAATGATAAACCGGGCCAATATTTTTCCAATTTCAGCAATTACTTGCAGAACAATGACTGTCCTACATAACGATAGCCGCCTATTTAAATGCACTTCCGGGTACTCGCTGGTTCAATTTGCTTGCTCGCATGGCGCCCATGGTGATTTCACTTTTTCGATCCCAGTTATCTATCTTGCGCCGCATAGCGGCGCTATACGATCTTTGCTAAACAGAGCCGTAGATAGAGAGAGTTTGGCCAACTTGGCGCATGGGCGCCATGTTGTCACCAAACAGCGTGCGCGCGTCACCAAACAGCGTGCGCGCGTATAGCTTTATAACATTTTATAAAACACTGATGCTGCATAGACTTTCTTTCATTATTCTGTTCATGAGGACAATTCAATTATGGGATTTTAACATATCATTGTAAATATAATATACTGTATAATCATATTTACCTAACTTTGGAATTAATTAATCAGTGATGTGCTGTATTATTTCGAGAAGATAAAGTGAGGACGATTCTTTATTTTTTTTCGTTACGATTATCTTTTTGTTTTAAAAGTCTATCATCTAGGCCTAGGCTATAACTTACCTAGTTGCTAGCAGCCTACTCTAATAGAATGAGGCTCCTAAGAAGAGTCAACACTGCAGAGGAGAAAGGTTGGTTGTGCAGACAGAGTAGGTTTGTGAATCGTCGGCGATAATATTAATTTCGCCTGTAAATGAATGATAACAATATTAATAACATGAAAGTTTTCTAATTGTATCTAGGCCTAGGCCTCTAGGCCTATGACTTCGTAAACTTTAATTTATGAAATAAAATATGCTGGTCATCTTCAAACCAACAAATAGCCGAGGCCTATTTATTTATTTGTAAATTGTAATCTAAACAATAAATCAAAGTTGAAGAATTATTGCATTGAGAGAAATTTTTGTACAACATATGCCTAATCATTCATAATCAAGAAGCTAGGCCTAGG